ACTATTTAAATAAATTTAATTTGTTTTACACGTACTGTACGTTTTCGGATTCATTTTGTAAGATATTTCTTCTCGGATTGATTCAAATGAGAATATAAATTTGGATCTTAATACTGTATTACAAGGTATATTCCTCGGTTACTCGATTTTAAATAGCCCATAACTTTATATTGTAGATCATAATATGATTTTATTATACATAGAGGTGAAGACGGTGAAGATAAATATGTGTTTTATTTAAGACAAAATTTCTCATAATGATAAATTTAGTAGAAAAATCAGTAAAAATGCAGAAAAATTTGTAGGTGATGGAATAAAGACTTTAAGGATGAAAGAAAAAAATTAGATGACATTTATCTGTTTTTCATTTAATTTTCTTTAACTTCTTTCATCAGTATTTAATCATATAAGTAAAAATATAATAATTTATTGTCTTTTTTTTAAGCTTAAAATTCTACTTTCCATTTCTATTTTAATTGATATTAGAATATTTATTAAGCGTTCTAATGTCACCTATCTATTACTTTTAAATTCACATTCACATAATATTATTAACTTTAATTTCGCTAAATTTATTCTTAAATTGTTTTAATAAAATAACTTGATTTTAAAAGCGTATCACAATTAGTTTTCTCTTCGTCGATAATTTTCTTATTAAAAAAAAATGAATCAGTTACTTCTTAACAGCATGATTTAAAAGAAAAATTAAGTTATACCAGTTTAAAAAATTTACTATAAATATAAAATATCCTTGTAAAATGGAAAATACATTAAAGAAAGAAGAATCAATATATTTATTTTATTTACAAAACAGATGATGCTTCATTAAGCATATGGATATTCTTATCCATAAAGATGAAAGCAAAACACCCAAAATAAAATTTTTATAATATGAATTTATTAATATTGATTTTATATTAATATTTTTAGTAATGTAAGTAACTTTTTATCTGTTTTTTAAACAGAAATATTTCTTGTGTGTGGTGAAACATGAGATTCTAGTTGGAGACAGTTAATTTTTTTTAGACTTTGCCAATCAAACCAACAAGATATTGAGTTTGTTAGATTTACATCATCAAATTTTGTATAGAATATGTAAAACCTTATAGTTCATTATCTACGTCGATGGAAATTCAAGTCGATTTACGATTTTTTTTAACGAATAAATCTTGTTTTATTAAAGGATAACGATTATAAAAAAGGATAAAGACAAATGGATGCATTACGATGTAAATTTCGTACGATAAAAATATATAAAATCCTATCTAAAAATACATATACTCGAGTTCCAATTAATTTAGAAAGATTAGTTAAATAGTAAAAATTTCATTCCATAAATGCGAGTTATTTGAGAGTATGTTTAATTTCGCAATTTGAAGAAAAGTATGTTATATTTCTGATTAAGTTTTATTATGTCTGGAATAAATGTTTTCACTTCGTTGAACAGCGTGATCTAATGTTTAAATATGTGCAAATTTTTTTTATTTTTGAAAGTTTTAAAATATGAAATATAACAGAAGAATTTTTATTTAATAATAACTTCACATTGAACAAACTAAATATTCATATATATATTTTTTTACATTAATTTTTTTAAGAACAACTGTTTATTGTTCGAATTAATTGTAATATTAAAATTTTAAAAAATTTTAAAGAGAATTCTATGACACTAAACTATAATTTCTTATATTTTTGGTAAATTTTTTAGCAAATAATGTTAAAGCTTATCAAATTTCCATTTGCTGTTTAAAAACACAAACTTCTAGCTGTAAAAAGTATATTCTAATTTGTTATTTCATGAAAAATGAAGTAATTAAATGTTTAGTTTACAGATCTTTTTCCTTTTTAATTTTTATTATTTGCTGATCCTTCATAATCTTAAAGAAAGTCTTTGATGTAGTTTAAAGCGTTTAGATAAAGCTGGATTTGAATAGGTTAATTAAAAAGGATAGCAGAGATAGTATTTTGTTTAAAGCAAAAAATTCGTTTTAGAATTTTTGGAGATTTAGTTAAGACCGATCAAAGATAGCCTGCGGCAAGATTTTTATCCTCGATAAGTCGAGGGACTACAACAAGAATTATGGGAAATAGAAACCTTCTCAAAAATCGATAACGTAGTCTGGATTAAGAGTCTCGGTTATCCGAGATGATTTCACTTTCACTTAGCTCGGATAATCGAATGGCTACTATTAATTTAAAGATAAAAACACATTGAATTACAATCGTTTTCCTTTACCTTTACAATGTATTATAATATTTATAACACAAAATATTTNGTTTTAGAATTTTTGGAGATTTAGTTAAGACCGATCAAAGATAGCCTGCGGCAAGATTTTTATCCTCGATAAGTCGAGGGACTACAACAAGAATTATGGGAAATAGAAACCTTCTCAAAAATCGATAACGTAGTCTGGATTAAGAGTCTCGGTTATCCGAGATGATTTCACTTTCACTTAGCTCGGATAATCGAATGGCTACTATTAATTTAAAGATAAAAACACATTGAATTACAATCGTTTTCCTTTACCTTTACAATGTATTATAATATTTATAACACAAAATATTTAAATTAAATCATAAAATTCCATTCGAAATTTAAGTTCTAATTTTTTATTAAAATTGTTATTGATTTTTTTCCACTGTTCGAGTAAAAGACATTTCTCATTTACTTTTGTTTATTTGTTGTTATATTGAGTTAAATGCAAACCACTCTATTCATAACCAAACTACTCTATTCAGAATTTCGTGAATAAAATAATTTAAATTTTTGTTTTGATATATATTATCTAAGAAAATATAATATTAAAAAAAATGAAAAAATAAATTAAACCAAACCAAATGTATCTATACTTATTCTAAAATCTCTCTCGTGAATAGTATAAAGATATACACGTGATCTATGCAAAAATCTTGGCATGAGATATACCACGTAGTTAAAATGTTATGCCAAATATATACAAACAGTAAGTTAAATACTTTTAAATGAAATATTCGAATGGCTCTCCATCTTGTTAGCTCTAAACACATTATCACTCAAGTTAAATAATTAACTGAAGAGTAACATAATATCTCAGTTAAACACCCGCCATTCTTTTTCATTATGTTATATTTAATTTGTTTTTATATAAAAAGGGCACGCCAAATATTTAACTGAAAATATAGTAAAATATTCGTTCTTCAGTTAATTATTTAACTTTTGGAAACAGAACAAAGTTAATATCTTAATATTTTTAATGCCATTTTCTGTTTAGAAGCTGTATATTTTCGAGAAATATTTTTTAAAAAAAATTTATATTTATATCCAGGCTTTGGAGAAAACAGATTTGAAGTTTTATAACTAATTTTTAAGGAAAATTATCCTTTATGAAGCGTATATCTTTTAATCTTCAAGTGCAATATATGCGTTACATTCATTAAGTATTAATAATTACATAAATGAGAATAATCCTTTATTTTTTCGTATTATAAAACGGTAAATAAAAACCTTTATGCTGTTTGTTTATTAGAAAGTTTTATAATTAATTAATTAACAGATAAATTAATATAAATATCATATTATTCATTCTAATAATGTGCGAACGAAAAATATTCGTTTACTATTAAATGACAAAATTCATTAATATAATTTTCGATAAGTGCATTAATACTTTCCATTGTTTATAAATATTTATTCCAAATACAATGTATTTCACTCGACGTGAAAAATTAGAAAGTTATAAACCGGTCGGACGATGCGGAAATTCCTTGATGAAAAATGACATCTTATTTAGTACAACAGTCTCTAAATCTCGTCATCTTATGAACTTATGACCTTTGACTTAGTATCATTTTAATTATAAACAATATATATAACGATTCAGCTTTCATTTTCATAAAGTGTGAATTATTTAATATAGATTTTGACAACTTCCGATCGAACTTCCGGCGAAAACACCGTCGTCTCTACAATAAGCTACACAGTAACGTGTCGATTTATATATTTTTCAGATATATTTGACTCGAGAATCTACCAGAATATAATAAACTTTCAGATTAAGTGCTTAAATGAGGAAAAAAAATTAAATCTCAATAAAAAAAAAACTAATAATAATAAGTATTTTGGTAAGTTACTCTTTTAAAACGACTTTGGAGATTATGTAAGTTTATTATCTTTAAGTAGTTCGTTCCATTCTTAGTAAATATATAACGCTTTATAAAGTTACTATCTAGAAAAAAAAAAAAATAACCGCTTAAAATAACTAACTTGGTTCTCAATTTCGTTAGTTTATTGTCCAGTAGACGATATATTGTAGAAAAAAAAATTAAAGAAGTAATAAATTATCTTAGCTATTGTGTACGCTTTCTTGTATGTCGACTGCTTGATATCACGATTTAAAATTAATTCAGAAGTATACATTTCCATTGAAACTTCATTTTAATGACAAAATAACCTTATAAATGGGAGATAAGACAGTACATGTATTATTTAAAGAGGCCTTCACGCTATGAGAATGCCCGCAATTAACGTAGTTCGACAAGCTTATGTACTGTACACGCATCCTAAAACTTTATCAATTTAAAATTTTATGTTTAAAAACAAGATAAACATGGCAATGTTTCTATATGAACAAAGCTTAGAAAGTAAATATTGTATATTTCTTTTCTTTAAATTTAAAAATGTGTAGTATAGAAGCTTTATATTACAGTATATTAAGTTACTTAATTTGAAGACAAAATCCTTAAGACATTTCTCGTTATAACATTGGTTTCTGAGAGGAAAAAAAATGAAAGTAAATAGCATTAATATTTCTACTTTAAAGCGATATTTAACTGTACAAATAATATTTTTAATTATTATTATTATTATTATTAAATCGGAGAAGAAAAATATCCTATATCCGCTGACGAAACAGAAAAAGTATTTTTGTAATTAATTTTCCTTTATACAACTGACAAATGAGTGTGTTTGTTATATATTTTAAATGTCGGATTTTACTTTGATCATATTTTCTTTTATTCAGGTAACAATGGCGGATAGAGAAGCTGCAGAAAGAGCAGTGAAAGATGCCAATCCTATTATCGACGGTCGAAAAGCTAATGTCAATTTAGCGTATTTAGGAGCTAAACCGAGAGGAAACGTCCAGAACGGCAAGTATATTTTAATATTAAAAGATGTCCGAATGATGTTTTGGTAACCGGGTTTCGGATATGTAAGTTTTTATTAGCCATATACATGATAATTAGTGGGTTTGAGTAGATAACTGCTCTGTGTGAGACGAATACGCTTCTAGTTTAAAAATAGACTTCCGAGTGTGTCTAAAGGATATAAAGAATGTTAGTAGCATCCTCTTATTTGCGCTGTTTATTTGTCACGCTGTTCTATTCAGCAGTTGTTATTGTTTTAAATTTATAAATTACATATTACAATTGGTTTTTCTTTTATTTTAATTTTCATAAATTTCGGTCATTTTTAAATATTTTTAATCTGTCGCTCAATCTATCTTAAAAACGTTTTTTAAAAATGTCACTAACGAGTTGCTTAACTTTCCAGGCAACATTTAACATTTTAGTGGCGTCATCTCTTATTTTAAAGACTTTTTATGTTTTTAATTATTATAAAATAATAAAAAGCTTAATTTTGAGGATACAGATGGGTTTTATAACGCTAATAACCTAATGCTAATAACGGGTAAAATCGTCGTTAAGTCCGACCCTACTCAAGACCACTTTTATCTCACCACCTCATTGACCTTTAACCACCAAACTTTAGTAGCATCAATGCCCCTTGTACACAAATTTCCCTGCAAAATTTCAGAAATTTTCGACAAAAAGCACAGGAGTTATTAAGCTTCAAACAAGGTAAACAAAATTGTGCCCCACCACCCACACTAACATTCATACATACAGGAAAAAAAAAAACTCCGAATTTTTTTACATTTCTCGACATTTCAAAGTCATCTGAGTCCAAAAATGTAAAAATTTTTGGGATCATTTTTCATACTTTCTCTCTGTTATATAATAGACTAATATTTAGCACAAAGAACAACAACAATTAAAATAAATCGCTTAAAAATAAAAAAAAACGGAGATTAAGCTAAGTATAATTTTAAATGGCGGTTTACAAACTTTAATCCTCTAATCTTAACGTAAAAAGTAATTATTAAGTAAAACACAAATAGGCCTATCTTAAACGACATTCAATCCCAACTAAGTTAAGGAATAAAGTGTAATTTTTATCAGCGAATTTCGAACGTGTTAAAAATCGCTACATCGTTTATTTACCAGCCTAATTGATTTGGAGAATGTTCGCTTTAAATTCATTACTTTTAAGAGACTATTATTTTCCCTCTTTCGAATTTCTCATCAGATTAATAGTCTGTATACTTATCTTAACGCTCATCTCATTCTGTCTTTGATACGAATAATTATGTGGCCCTTCGCTTTAATTTATGGATATTAACTTTATTTAATTGTAAGATATATGTAAATTGAAATAATAAATTAGTTGTAGTATCGAAAGAAATAAAAATTGATTCGGATAAAGCATACCGACCTCGAAATAACTGATAATTTTGCGCTATTTCGAAGGTATAATCTTTCTAATCGTCAAATTATTCTTGGTCAAATATCACTAGAGTGTTAATTACGCGTTCTTGATAGCATGATTAAAAAGAGCTTAATGTGAATTAGCCTTGAGCAATTTCACAATCAAGCTTCTAGAGATTAATTTCCTTTTTTTTTTTTTTTTAATTGACTACTGATGATTAAGCGAGTATGCTCGTCTATTATATTTTTATCGAATTCTATAGCGATATAACAGACATAAAAATCCTTTTTTAAATATTATTTATAATTAAAAAAAGGTTTACAGTTTACATCAATGGAACTGTAGATAATGCGTACACTTCATTGGAACAAAGTAGTATTAATTAATAATTCAGCGATATCTTAAAGAGTACGAACGAGTTAGTAAATTTTAAACTTTTAAATAGAAAAAAAAAATAGCATTTGATAGTTTTAAAATAAGATTAAATTTACTTAATATTATGATTGTTTATGATAATGTATTGGATTTAGAATGGAGTGATCGGCTGTGATGAAAGTAAAGCAAGATGAAAACTATTTAGATTTAGAGATATTTCGAATAAAATCATTGCCTGAAACCAAAATAACCATCTCACGTATTATGCTATTTTAAGTAATATGCTCTATGAAAGAACTTATTTTTAATCCGGTACGTGTTTAGCTACTCGATGATGCCTAATCATTTTCTTAAATACTAGTCCATTGACCGAAATTCTGGATGTCGTAGTCCCTTAGATGTTTCTTTACTGAATTTTTTTTTTTTTTTAAATCTTAGTTTTATTGAACATCTCCTTTCTCCCCACGTTTAAGAATGCAGGAAGTGAAATAATATATGAGACATCTATTACTTAATATAAAGTGCGGGTATACATAATTGAAGGTTATGCCTGACGTTTACGAGACGTCTAAAAATATATTAAAATAATATATTTACAATTTTAAAAGGATTTACTAAGTTTTGATAAGATTAAGGATTGAATATCTTTTAAATCGTTAATTAAATTTTGTTAAGAAATTTATCGTTTTTTTGTTTTTAACCATGTTAATTTAAATAAAACTGTGTGATAGTTTGTATTGTTAATTAATTAATTAATTAATAATGTGTTAAACACTTATACAGAACCGTCTAAAGCTTGATGAAGGGGCCTTGGGGGTAGGGCGGCCCCTTTTGCTCCTTAGCAGGCCTCTTTTGCCTTTTCGTTTGAACAAATGAAACAAGAAGAATGTTTCTTTATTAACGAATAATAGCCTTAAAGTAAAATTATAGGGGTGGGAACCATTACGCGGGGCCTAAGTTTTATCCGGGCTAGGGGAAAAATCCCTAGTTTCTCTCCTCTGATGGCCTTCCACTTATATCAAAATAATATATTATATAATTTAAAAAGACTAGAGTTTAATTTTATGCAATTTTAAAATAATAATAATAATAAGAAGAAGAAGAAGAAGAAGAAACTTAGATAAATATTTTAATAAAGTTCTTCTCCATTACTAAATATCAATTTAATCATAAATTGTACCATTACTTATTGAATTGACGTGGAATTTAAATTATTTTATGCATTTATTAATATGTAGCGTACAATATTTACTCACGGATTCAATAATGAAATATTATTTAGTTTAGCTCATTAAGTAGTTATATCGAGTATTATTGATTAATTTCAAGAGAAATATTTTAAGAAAAATCTACTTTAGAATTAGTAAAAATCTTAAATATGAACTAAAATTTATTTTTAATATTTAAACTTCTTAAAGATTGTATAATTTAATCATTATTTTGAAAAACATAACGATTAATACTCATATATATTTGTAATTTTTTTTCATTATATTCGAGGTTAATATCAATGATAAAACTTTTATGAATTATATTTGGATTAATGGATTAAGGCAACGAGGGTGATCTGACGAGGAAAGTGCCTTCCGAGAGGACTTTTTAAAGAAGCGGGCCCCTATTTACGTGAAGAAAATTCGGAAATCTCCACGTGGCCAGATAAGAACCCGCGACCAACTAACTACCAGTGTTCGGTGGTTTCGTTCACTCGGCCATTAGCAGGCATTAAATTATATTTCTGAAAAGAAACAAAGTTTTTAAGTAGCTTATTAATGAGAGAATTATTTAATATGTTATGTATTTAACAATATTATTTTATAAATTTGTTTCACATAATTCTATTTGTTAAACATTAAAATTCGGGATTATATTGCTATGTCTGATATAACTTACTTTAAGCATTTAAAATAAAAGAAATCACAAATATATAAAATAATGTCGTATGAATACTTAGTTGAAAGAAATAAGCTTTTGAAACTGGTTTTGGTTTGACAGGATAAGGCAACTCAACAAGAGGGTAATCTGCTAAAGGGGGATATCTCTCAAAGGACTTTCTATGAGAAACTGGCCTCTATTAAGTCTATTTAGGTGTTAGATACGCGTTGGTCATGTGTGAACCCGACACCAATTACCAGTGTTCGATGCTTTTTCCATTCGGTCACTGGAGAGCCTTTTGAAACTGGATTCTACGTTTAACTTATAGTCTATACTCTATAGAGTGGCACGTTATAGATCTCGGACGCCTTAAGCAAAAATAAATTTTAGGGCCTATCCCATCACATATTATATTCGAAAAATAATAAATCATTTTAATTTTTAAATAGTCACACTCCATGTCATCTTTATCTTCCCCCTCAAATCAAAGACTCATTGGTGCCTTAAACCTTAGACAGAAAGAAACATTTGCTTCGGGTCCCAATTTTAAGGGACCCCAAAATAAGTTTATTGAGCTTAAATACTCAATATGATCTTTAGAAACTATTAAATCTGTTTATGTTAACTTAGAATAATTATTACTTGTACTAAATCTTAACTAAACAAAACTTGATCGAACCGATTCGTATTACCATCGACCTTCTTTTATGCCTAATATATTTTGTATTTAATTTATTCAAATTCACTTTCGTATCTTAATTAAATTCAAATTTCAAGTTTATTTCTGAATTTTTTTCCATTTTGACGTCTTCGTAATTTGTCAATATCAAATTTCATACTGTCTTTCATGCATACAAGACTTAGAATTAAACAACATTCAGCTTCCGATAAGGATTATTTATTTATTTTTTAAAGTTAATATATAATTTTATTTATATATTTTAGTTGAAAATATTCCGCTTAAGTCTTTTACACAGTATCGGAATTAGCACAATGATAGCGATGTCAGTAATTAAAGTCCGTAATACTTTCATTATTCCTTAGCAAATTACGTAATAATAATCCCAGTTAGATATTTTTTTTAAACTTCCATTTAAGAAAATTTAATATTGTTCTATGATTTACATTTTAAAAGTCAATTAAAAATGGGGGGGGAAAAAGAAAAGAAAATCGCCTAAGATGCAACAAGGAAGTAAATCTAAATTGTAAACTAAGATTCCGGCGTAGACTTTGTACAGTATTTTTCTCATAGATGAACAGTTTGAATTTCTCTTATTTTCCGTCATAAATAATTGCAAATAGGTTACTCGTGTGTATTCATATTCAAATTTATTTTGAAATCGAAATTGTTTGGAGTTCTATCGTTCGTTTTCTTTTATTAAGTAAATCCTTTTAATCGCAACTATTGGAAGATTCTGAGTCCTAGATCAATTTAGGCTTTTTCTATAAATGTAATAACAAAACAAAAATAAGGTGACAACCTACCTCTCTGGGGCACTCGAAATTGAATCCGGCCAGGCCACCCAAGAATTTTTATGAGCGCTGTCCGGGATACGTCGGGCCCCACCCTGTTGCTCCCATTATGGGCCTGGGTATTGGGAAAAAACCCTTTTAGTTAGTCCATAGGTCGGAATGAGCCATAATAAATAAATTCTAATTATTAGTCGATTAAATTTGTAATGTTATACCTCATACGCTCACTCAATCAATGTTTTTATTTCCTATAAAATGTATTAAATCATCCAACAGTTTTACAATTTTACAAACAGGCAAATATAATCTTATTTTGTAATCATGTTCGTTGGTTATTACTTTTAACAATTATACAAAATTTGTATTAAAAATATTCAAAAGTCACAGGACGTAAATGAAATTTCTATGTTTAAATTATTTCGTAAAATTTGACTGTTACAGGTAAATATCGATCATTAGCTTGACACCTTGAAGTCAAATTAATTAATTTTTCCAGGAAATTTTTATAAAAAGAGATTTAAATGAAGTTTTAAAGATGGAAAAGATTACTTACATTAATATTAATGTAGTTTAATGGCTAATAATCTAAACGTAACTATTGTCAGATTAAAGATCTAATATTAGATTCTTAACCAGAAATATTTACTTGTAATCAGATAACATTAACAAATAGAAATTAGATATTATCGATGTAAAAATCGCTTTTCAATGTCACTAATCCTCTACTAAGAAATTTGCACGTAAATTTTTTATATAATATTCTACCTTAATGTATACAGATGCATAGACGTCCACAGAGGAGGCAAAAGGGGCATTTGTCGAGGGATCGAGTAAAAAATTCCACAAATTATAATCGTAAAAGTGATTGAGATATGTAACCTTACACTCTCGGTCATGGAACACTGAAGTATTCTATAACCTACTTGCGAAAAAAACCCCAAAATTAAAATTTTATTGATGTAATTATTTGTTTCCAAGCTTTGCTCCTCTCCGGGAAATTTTCTGTGGACGTCCACGTGCAGGTGTATATGAAACTATCACTGTATTCATAACTAAAATCAAAATAGAAATTGTTCGTACATAATCAAGATATATAGAAAGATTTCCAACAGAAACAATGGTCTGCTTTGCTTTAATAGGATACTACAATGCGACACATGGGCGATCTGCCAAGGAGGGAGAGGACTTTCTATGTGAAATTGGCCCTATTTAGATGTTAGACACGTGAAGAAAACCTAGAGAACTCCACGTGGCCAACCTATATAGATCAGGCACCAGAGTTCACGGGTTTTATCGAATCGGCTATTGATGGGTTGGAAGCAATGGACACGTGTTTTCTTTCTCTATTAATATATAACAGAAGTGTATCCAGAGGGAGTGTTTATGATGCTGCAGCACCCTCTTGATACTATAGCAATCAGCTTTGTTAGTTTAAAATAAAAATAAATATAATAACGCATATCGCATACCTTCGATTATGTAGTATTAGATAACTAATTATAATTGTCTCCGAGAAACGAAAGGAGACACGTGCCTTATACTCACGAATCTGCTTTGAACAGCACCCATATTTTCAAAATCACGGATACACCATTGATATATAAGGAAACTTATGGGTGACCCTTTGATTAAGGGGGCACGGAGTTAATTTGCGATGAGTTACTATACAAATAGTGACAACAGAATTATTCATTTTAAGTTTTATATCTATTTTAATCTATAGATATTATTCGTGTTCTTATGTCATAGACGAATAAAAATGGTACTAGGATATAATATAAAATTACTGAAATAGCTTATTGTTTTTATTTTATTTTATTATTTTTTTAACAAGAGTAAGCTTTCCGGAATTCGGAGTCCCGTACATCTGCGGCCTTTTATCTATATATAGACTCATCTCTTTATAACTTAAGTTTTAGCATATATTTTTTTTTAGTCTACTCTTCATGTTTCGCGTGGTTATTCACATTTATTTTGATAGGTTTTATAATTAATTAACCACTGAAAAGTCATCTCAGAAACTGATTATTGGCCTGACCGCGGGAACGTCTGATAAAAGACTCTAAATTCTATATTTTAATAAACATTAAAGTAAAATATCTATGTGATGATGCATTTTATGTGTAGATAATTTAATTTATATTTAATAGAACATTAACCATAATAATTTTCGAAAGGTTTCGTGCCTTTATCTTGGATTTTCTAATTCCGAAAATAGTCGCGAAGTATCTTTATACTATATTTAAGCATGTAAAATGCGCATTTTATATAATTATCATCGAGTGTATACTGTTAATTTATCCTTAATTAGATAGAATACGTAAGCGTAGATGATAATGTCAGATATAAAATTCCCTTCTTTCTCTTTTGAATATTAAAATAATCTTTCTTCTCTTCATTCCGATAATATTAAAACATGTAAATCGAAGTTAATTATAAATTAATCGATGTTTATTTATAATCTGTGTCAATTCAAACTTTGTGAATATTTAATTTCATCGGATTAATTCAACATTAATATCGAATGCGGTATAGTTCAAATTACATTACAATGATTTATGCAATGGAATCGGATACTAAATTATCAGCATCAATTTGTGACGATGAGATGTTATTCTATACGTTAGCATTCGGTTTTGTTTCTTCTCATTCGGTACTGTTTAACGTAAATTAACACTTTTAAATCAATTAATTATGTTCAATTTCCACAGAAATACATCTGTAAACATAATTAATCGATAGTGTTAATAAAATAAATGATATAATTTACGAAAAAAAATAATAAAATCAATTTTTTTCCTCCTTACTTAATTATATAAAATTTTCCAATTACGGCGTATTATTTAACCTTATTCGTTAATTTTATGATTTGCTACAGACAGAATTCTTTATTACCTTATTGTTTTTGCAGCTTTCGATGAGTTAATCCTGCTATTTTTGGTGATAACCTATTTATACGGAATGTTTCTGCTATCATTTAGCTTACATTTCCCGAAACTACTAGGCCATAGATTAGCTTAAAAACAGTTTACATGCACGTTACAAAAAATCTATGTGTAACTTATTAACATACCATCAATTTTTCGAATAGTTTTAGAAAATTATTTTATTTATTTATTTTTAAATCACACCCAAAAGTATTTAAGAGGGGAAAAAAAAACATTCTATAAATATAGTTTCTTAATTGTTACGCGAAATACGGTAGAAACATCGATGTTTCGATAAGTGATAAGTAGTAAAATGGCGAATTTCAATCGGTAGAATTCGGCATTTCTCATCGGACGGATCCATTATTGTTGTTTGTTTGGTACTTACCTTATTTAGCAACTAAACGGGATATCAAATTTTCATCGCATATGCCAGAAGATGACGAGAAATGTAACTATTGAGATGAGAATTTACCAAATGTCACCGAAATGATAACACCCCGTCAACATTGCTATATTTTCATATCAAAATGACCTATTTACAACAAAATTATTATCTAAAAAAATTAGATATTTTTCTAAGCTACCGTCAGACATTTTCGTCTATAATTTAATTATCAATAGTTTTAATTAAATTACACTCAATCATATATCAATTTCTAGATTTGAAACATAATTAAGAGCGATTTTAATTGATTATTAACACGTTGTTTTACGTTCATAATCTTAAAATTTGAACTTTAAATATCGCTGATTATTCTGCCAGTAATGTAATTTTTTTTAAAAGGGATTCATTTTTTTAATATATATATATATTTTTTAAGTTTAATTGGCCGTTTTAAGCATTTAATAGAATAAAAACAAAAGTTTTAACAAGAAAGAGTTTAGAAAGTAACGTGTTATTGAGTTAATCTGTGGATAGAACCTTATAGAGAAATTCAACAACCTACTCGAGTATTACTTCTAATAAATATAAATAGGACGACAATGAATTATGAAAGAATAGGAAAAAGATATTTAATAGATTCAGTCTAGAACATTAAGCCAGGCTAATCCATTACTAAGAACGTAGTAATCACAGAAGATAAAAAGAAACATTTTCTCTGTAAGAAAATAAACTTTGTCACGCTTTCGTTACGATATAACACAAATAGTTAAATGGAAAAATTTCAAAATTATTCTTTAATAAATAAATCTTAATGACTATTTTTAATATTTATTTACATATATATATATATATATATATTATTTTTTAATGATTTTTACAGGTTTTCCCTTTCCTGTCAGAGCAGCATATCCAACTNACTCACGGATTCAATAATGAAATATTATTTAGTTTAGCTCATTAAGTAGTTATATCGAGTATTATTGATTAATTTCAAGAGAAATATTTTAAGAAAAATCTACTTTAGAATTAGTAAAAATCTTAAATATGAACTAAAATTTATTTTTAATATTTATTTACATATATATATATATATATATATTATTTTTTAATGATTTTTACAGGTTTTCCCTTTCCTGTCAGAGCAGCATATCCAACTGTAGTTCCTGGACAATATGGGTAAATTTGTCATTTTTTTTCACCCCCCGTAAGAGATTTGTTTCTGACTGTTGTAGATGAATCTTCGCAGTTTGTAAAGGTTGTCAACAACAAAAAGAGATGTTATTGACTTCTATATCTTTCCTGCCGAAGAGTCGAAAATCTAGACTCGTTCTAAAAATACTTTTGCAGCTTCCTGACGTTCGTGGTCTGCAAAAAATTTTTTTTTTCCTCCATCTTTTTTTCGCTGTTTTTTTTTGCACGTTGCGCCATCTCTTAACAACACTACATATTAGCTATGGCGTCGATTTATAAATATCGAATTATTTTCGGTAATTTTAAGAGTAAACATCGTTACGACTTTTGTATAAATATTGTAATTATTCACACTATTATTTTACCTTAAGCTTATTATTATTTTTATTAATTGTTAATTTTTTTTTTAATTAAAACGGTTTAAAAAGTCAATTATCTATATTGTTTCTAGCGTCACTTAGATTTAACTGAGGACAAACACGATCCGAAAGGGAAAAAAATGGCGGGGGGTGACATTTTTGTACAATGAGATCATTTTTTTTTTTTACTCTTTTGCATTGTTTGACGTTCTAATTTTCGGCTCATTTTTGTCTCTCGTCCAATAAACTTTCGACCCGTCGAAGAACCCTGCGCCTTAGTACTGTATAATGTAAAGGAGCGTGTGTGTCTACAGGAAGTTAGGACGTCGATGTTGACTTAATACGAATGGTGGACGTCTGAAGGACAATCCTCAATTTGGCAGGAATGTCGCCAACTCAGCATTCGAATTCTCTTATTGCAGATATCTAGGTTGGCACAACAAAATGCGAAATGTACAAATTACAATGGAAACGTATGCACTTCGAACATTGAACCCTTCGATCTTTGTTTATCAACGGATATTTTTAATGTTTTAAGTACATTTTAAATGTAAAAATTTCCGTTAGATAATCCTAAACGATTCACACACTTTTACTTTTCGTTATTTAATTAATAACGAAAGCCCACTTTTACTTTTCGTTTACTATAACTTAATAACGAAAGCCATTTGTAATAAAATTTTATATCGTTATTAATTAAAATGGTTTAGTTTATTTTTTTATTATCACTGAGAATATTTTTAGAATTTTTTCCCCTTCATCGTTAAATATATAATTGGCTCTACTCGAAGAAAGAAATTGTCACTTTACGCTCTGGAAAACGTTTCCGGAATGCGGGTTGAAAATTGTATAAATCCAATCCTTGCTACAAATCAGAACATAGGCTGTTGCTTGCCAGTATTGTATGGAAATTTCAGAACAGGTGGATTGTTCCATCAGTTGGCTATATATAGACGTGCTAAGTCAGGAGGTGTGCTTCTGGTCGTTCCAGGACTCCCTCTTCTGATCGGGATTGTTGTACATCATCACTTTTCAACAGGAGAGTTAAGAAAACCTCTATAAAACATTTTAAACTTTAATATTTAACCCACGAATTGATTAAAAATAAATATAATATAATATTCGTGATATTTTTTTAAAAAATATAATAGACTACTTAAATAAATACTTATATTTTTTTTTTTTTAATAGAAAACTCTCACCCATTCCAACCGACAGGAAAACGTTCGGTGCAGATGCCACTTATTGGTCAGAAGGGACGTCAAATTTAACGTGGCCCTGTTTGGCAAGCACCTTATTATTATCNATTATATATTTATTTGAAGATCTTTTTTTTTTTTGAAAATACATTATTTTAATTCACCGAAGGATTATCTATAGCCGGACAGGTGATGGATTATTTGTACTTAAATGCTTTATATGACTTTTGTACGATGCGTCGAAACTTCCATTATTTCCTTCGTTTGTCGGTTTAGAAAATATCATTATTCCGAACGAGTTGGTTAGTATTCCATTTAAAATATTCGTTCATTAGTCACGAGATTAGAATCTTATCTGTATAGATTTTTACGGCGCGCGTGGCGTGATAGTATTAATTTGCTCAGCGTATCTACAGATGATGACGTAACAATATATTCATTTAAGTATGCATTAAGCCATGCCGCTTATTATCACCTGACGAATTTAAATCTTGTTAAAATCATCAAAATCGTAGCAAAAAAAAAAACACATTTAAAAAAAAAAATAAAATTATTCCAAACTAATATGAAAGATCGATTATGACTGCATGTTAATATTCGTAATATTTATGTAATTTTTTTATGTTTAATTTCTATGTTTGTAATTTAGTTAATTAGCGACATAAACTAATATATATAGGCCTATATATATACTCCTTTTATGTTTCTCACATTTTATCGACAGTATATGAAATGCCAAAAATCATATTATTCACGTGACAAGTCTATAGAAAGAATAACAATGAATTCCGTCCTGTAATTCCGTTTTAATACAGAATTTAAAATAATCGTAATATATAAATTTATAATAATATAGAAAAAAAAATATCCGTCCTAATATATTAGGAAAGAAGAAAATATATTTTTATGTTTTAAACGTATATAGCATAATCATTTGTGCCTCGTATACACACCGTGTTATAACCGAAATCATGTTCGTTCGTTATTTACATACATATATATACATATATATAGTGTAATTTTATAGATGAAAAAAAAAAACAAAGTATAACATAAATGTGTTTTCATTTCATTAATTTAATTTCTTTGCTTTCGTTTTAAACGCAATGTAAAGTAGGTATGAATAATTTTTAGTACTTCGATTACATATATTAATTTTTAATTACTTTGTTTAGATTAACGATACGGTAAATTCTCAACAGACTTCATAATAATAATAAAAACAGCATTCCCTGATTCATGCCTTGTTTAATAAAAAGCAAAAATACGTGGCTAGCTTTCTGAATAATAATAATAATAATAATAATTTTATTTTGATGTCTCTCAACATTAACAAGAATGTTCATCTTGTGCTCTAAATGTAAACTAAGCGCTGATTTCTAACCTTGAATTCGCTATTACAGTGTGTACATGTGACTTATTACAGTGTGCATGCGAAACCATTGAATTATTTATAACATTCGTGATGTTTTTCTCTGTTTATATACACGTGTATATCTAATTTAACCTCTTTTTTTTTTTTTTGTTAATTGTTAACTATATACAGGTACAATAATGATAACTAAACATTATTTTTTATGTTAGATATAGGTCGAAGCGCAGGGACTATGTATATATAAGCCTACATTATTAATTTTTTAACTCCAGAGAAAATGATTTAAATTTTAATGGATGGTTTTATATATATATTATTTTTAAATTTCTATATCTGAATAATAAATATATTCATCCGCTTCCTATTATAGAGTATAAAATCATTTTTTAAAAAGTTTTTATAGATCATCGGAGATACAACGAATGACATTTTTTTAAAAATGAATTATTTATTAATTTAGCTTTTAAAAATACAATAAATGTGTAAATATTTTTATTTAAATTATACAGAAGAGAGAAAATTTATAATTTATAATACGTGAGTATTTTGTTTTATTAAATTTTCTGAAATTAAACAATAAATTTAATCATTTAAAACTTTATAGATTTTTTTTCCTGTTTTATGTTGTTTTAGTGTAATTAAATAATTTTTTTTAAAAATAAAATCTAAAATAAAATGTATAGATTGTAATTTATTTAAAACATTAGAAAGTTCTAAGTCATGTTCAGGCCAATCTTTGATAACAGCAAACAGGATTTAACTGTAATTTTTACTGTTTTTAATGTTATATCTTATAGAAAAAACTTTGAATTTTTAGAAATATATGAAAATATATAATGTAATAAATAAAAATTCCAATGTCTACATTTTTCAAATTAATTTTTAATTAATTGTAAATCTTAAAAAATTAATAAACGCCGTAAATAAAATGCTAATATAAATTGAAAGAAATTATCCTAACGAAGGCAGAAAACTTTTTAAATTTAAATTTTAAAATAATAAAAAAGAAACAATAACTTGTTTATATACCAATCAAATTTTATTATAATCAGTTACGAATTTTTTCGTCATTATTATTATTTTTTTCTACTTTTATCCTTTCGGAAAGGTTCGGTTATACGAAATTTTGTCAGAGAATTACATTTTTATTTCTTTTTATTTTTCATAAATTATAAAATTATTCGCTTTTGAAAAGATGCCCGATAAAAAGAATTATTTAGGGATTACGGGAAATATTTGTATGCTTCACTTGATAATACAAGTTTCGTCCATACTAAATTATAGCTTGGTAATAATTTATAGTGAAAATTATAAAGTTTTCACTATAAATTATTAATCCGTTGTACTNGGTAATTTAATGGCGTGATCAAAATTTACTTAGGATTCGAGCATTAAGGATTTTAGTAATTTTATTTTATAATTTTTCTATTTATTTTCCTAAGTGAAAAAATTATATTAAAGAGAAAAAAATTTTTTAAAAATGTCAGTAAATTAATACGTTTTTCCTTTTGACTCAGACGTGCCAAAAAGTTGTTTCAATCAACTAAGGCAAGCGAAAACTATCAAAACAGTTTGAATTTTACTCAAAAATATTGCATAAATCTTTAGAAATCGGATTATAAATCATTTAAAAAATTTGCCATTTTTTAAAATAATAAATTTCTTGTCGATCCCGCTTTAAGCAATTATTTACTGTTAAGTCAGAAAAATTGATTTAAACGTTTTTGAATAAGAATTCTTCATCAATCATTGGAATTTTCTATCAGTAAAAAAGAGATGCCCAAAAATACATTTATGTCACTTATAAATACTGATAGAAATAGGTCTAATTTTAGTATAAAATAGGTCTATTTGTTGCCGAATTGAGCGCAGTTTAGCCCACTTATCGAAAAGTTTGGGCCATCACTGTTATAAAATATAAGAGAAATTAGTGTTTAGCGTTAAATACAATACTATAAAAATAATTCTAAAAAAATAGTCGTGTAATTTTATAGATGAAAAAAAAAAACAAAGTATAACATAAATGTGTTTTCATTTCATTAATTTAATTTCTTTGCTTTCGTTTTAAACGCAATGTAAAGTAGGTATGAATAATTTTTAGTACTTCGATTACATATATTAATTTTTAATTACTTTGTTTAGATTAACGATACGGTAAATTCTCAACAGACTTCATAATAATAATAAAAACAGCATTCCCTGATTCATGCCTTGTTTAATAAAAAGCAAAAATACGTGGCTAGCTTTCTGAATAATAATAATAATAATAATAATTTTATTTTGATGTCTCTCAACATTAACAAGAATGTTCATCTTGTGCTCTAAATGTAAACTAAGCGCTGATTTCTAACCTTGAATTCGCTATTACAGTGTGTACATGTGACTTATTACAGTGTGCATGCGAAACCATTGAATTATTTATAACATTCGTGATGTTTTTCTCTGTTTATATACACGTGTATATCTAATTTAACCTCTTTTTTTTTTTTTGTTAATTGTTAACTATATACAGGTACAATAATGATAACTAAACATTATTTTTTATGTTAGATATAGGTCGAAGCGCAGGGACTATGTATATATAAGCCTACATTATTAATTTTTTAACTCCAGAGAAAATGATTTAAATTTTAATGGATGGTTTTATATATATATTATTTTTAAATTTCTATATCTGAATAATAAATATATTCATCCGCTTCCTATTATAGAGTATAAAATCATTTTTTAAAAAGTTTTTATAGATCATCGGAGATACAACGAATGACATTTTTTTAAAAATGAATTATTTATTAATTTAGCTTTTAAAAATACAATAAATGTGTAAATATTTTTATTTAAATTATACAGAAGAGAGAAAATTTATAATTTATAATACGTGAGTATTTTGTTTTATTAAATTTTCTGAAATTAAACAATAAATTTAATCATTTAAAACTTTATAGATTTTTTTTCCTGTTTTATGTTGTTTTAGTGTAATTAAATAATTTTTTTTAAAAATAAAATCTAAAATAAAATGTATAGATTGTAATTTATTTAAAACATTAGAAAGTTCTAAGTCATGTTCAGGCCAATCTTTGATAACAGCAAACAGGATTTAACTGTAATTTTTACTGTTTTTAATGTTATATCTTATAGAAAAAACTTTGAATTTTTAGAAATATATGAAAATATATAATGTAATAAATAAAAATTCCAATGTCTACATTTTTCAAATTAATTTTTAATTAATTGTAAATCTTAAAAAATTAATAAACGCCGTAAATAAAATGCTAATATAAATTGAAAGAAATTATCCTAACGAAGGCAGAAAACTTTTTAAATTTAAATTTTAAAATAATAAAAAAGAAACAATAACTTGTTTATATACCAATCAAATTTTATTATAATCAGTTACGAATTTTTTCGTCATTATTATTATTTTTTTCTACTTTTATCCTTTCGGAAAGGTTCGGTTATACGAAATTTTGTCAGAGAATTACATTTTTAATTTCTTTTTATTTTTCATAAGTTATAAAATTATTCGCTTTTGAAAAGATGCCCGATAAAAAGAATTATTTAGGGATTACGGGAAATATTTGTATGCTTCACTTGATAATACAAGTTTCGTCCATACTAAATTATAGCTTGGTAATAATTTATAGTGAAAATTATAAAGTTTTCACTATAAATTATTAATCCGTTGTACTACAACTTAATATTTATTCAATAGTTTATTATTAAATAAATATTAAGTAGTAAACTATTCGGCGCCAGATAAGTTATAGCGAATTAACGAATATTTACGATTATTATTTTTTTCCAGATTGCCTCCACATTACGTTTATCCTTCGCCATATATCCCTACACCCGGACTTTTGATGCCTCCTCACGCTCCATTGTCTCCAGCCACGGGGCATTTCTACGATTACGCCGCAGCTTACCCCACTCAATTTGCCAACGGATTAGATCCGACGTATCCATTTCCTTCGGCAACAAGTACTCCAGGAGGAGCATCTTATCTGCCTCCCACAGCTTATGCTTATACCATCCCTCAGCCTCTTCCAGGAAGCAACGCTACGCCTTTTGCTGTGCCTTACGCAGCTACTCAACCTCAGATCCAAGAAGCGAGGATGCAATAAAAAAAAACAATATATATATATATATATATA